CAGGGAAATCATACTGTGGGGTGACCATCACATGAATATAATGTTGTCCAGTGTAGATAAATAGAGAAATTGTGGAATTGTGGAATTGTACTGTCCTACTGAGAGTTAAACCTATGTCCATTCCTATATTGAACTTTCTTGCTGTCACCTTTATGTTCTGACCACTCAGTGATTTCATGAATTGACACAATGCCTTATTTTGCCTCGCCTTGAAGGGAGGCTGTGGCTTAGAGGCAGAGTGGGTCGTTCATCAGAAAGTTGCTCCCATCAGTGTGTGAATGTATATGAATGTGTTAGTTCATGTTCGATGGGCTTTGCCATCACTAAATGAATGTGTGTGAAAGGGAGAATGTGACATATAGTGTAAAAGCGCTTTGAGTGTTCGGAAGACTAGAAAGGCACTATACAAGTACAGGTCCATTTATCATTTACCTTTTGAACCTATCTGATCGACCTGCTATTGAAGGGCGGTATACCAGATGAACCAATATACTGGTTTGAATCTCCCGTGTGATGTAGATTTTTCATATACCACCCAAAACATTTTTTTAAATTCTGTAACTCTTCTATGAGAAGCAAAATAATATTGTTAATGGAAAAGAGCTGTATTGAGAGGGGAGCCCAATTAACTTTATAACAAAACAATTATATATGTATTATGTTGTATATCTATATTTTTTATTTTAGTTCAATTATTTATTTGACTAGTTATTGTTTTTGCAGTTTGCACAATAATAATAATAATAATAATAACAATAATAATAATAATAATAATAATGAAATAATAAAAAATAATAATAGTTTACATTCTGCAACTCTTCTAAATCCTTCATATATTATCATTTTGTGGGGCCAAGAAAATATAGTAATCAAAGCTTTAAGTACATAACATAACATAACATACATAACATACAAAAATAATCCACTAAAACCTATGAAAAAGCCCAGTCATGCAAAAAAAAGGAAAATACCATCCATCATATACCGCTAGGCCACTTTAATCACTTGCACTAACTGCACATGCATTTATTTAATTTGTTTTTTATTCGAAAACAGTAAATTTGAGTTTTTAATGATGTATCTCTTTACCACCACTTGGGCAGAGTGGAATTGGTCAATTGAGTGCATTTATGGTCTTCCATTCACTCAAAGCACTTTACACTACATGTCACATTCACACACTGATGACAGAGCCATGCTCATCAGTAAGAGAAACTAATTCATTTACCGATGGCACAAGAGCAATTAGGGATTCAGTTTCTTGCTCAAGGACACTACTGTACATGCAGCAGGCGGAGCCAGCCATCAAACTGCCAATCTTTTGATAGTGATGACCTGCTCTACCTCCTGAGCCACAGCCGCCCATAGGAAACAAGGTGACAATACAATATTAATATATCATCACCTTTTAAGTTATATTATATACATTATATATTATATGGTGAGAAAAAAAGGATGTCTACTGAGAGGTAAAACACAAGCTAGTTGAAGCAATTTCTTAGATCTGTATATGAAAATGTGGATCCCAGGCAAAGATTGGAAAGAACCTTGTAAAGACTGACTTATTTCAGTGAAGAAGATATTAAGATCTCAGTGTGACTACCTTTGGCTGCTTGGGCCTTCCATGTATCCCTGTTGTGACGAATTTCTTGGTTCCATGTGCCCTTGAAGCTTTTGAAGTCCACTGTGGTCAAAGAGCAGCTGCCCTCTGAGCCTGTACTCTTCACATTGGAATGCTTTCCATCACTGCCACTAATACTGTTGACACTGTGGACAGTGTAGACATGGATGGGCACAAATCAAACATTCAGTCATACAAATGCACTAACTGTTAAAACAGTGGAACTTTGTAGACAAGATGGGAGTCTGTTCCAAATAAAGAAATGGGTGCTCTGGCTTTAGTTCCGGTGATGCTTTTGGACCAAGGTTCTGACCGAAGCTTGCTCAACTGTTATTGGAGAGACACAGAGCAAAAAGGGGCAGGACTTAGGAAGGGTAAATTATCACCAACACTGCAGTCCCCTCAGGTCTGAGTTTTTTAGCCAGATATAGTTTTCTTAGGAGTTGGTGGAGACCAAAAACTTGATATATTTGTTTTAGTGTTTAGCTGAGTGACCAAAAATCAAACACAACAGTTATACAGTACTAGAGTGTTTAATATGGTATTACCTTTAAGCATGACAGTTATATAGGGTTGAAATTAAAATTGCATTAATTTTAGGTCACCAATTAAAAAATGCTTTACACACAAACACTGAGACATCAATCTATGCAATTTGTACAGAAAAGTATTGTATTTCTAGATACAATATATAGATCAATATAAAGAACCTGCAGTATATTGCATGCATTAGGTCTCTGCACTGGTCCATAGCAGACTGAAGAGTCTCACCATTTTCTCCACCTATTGCACTGCTTTGTCAAATTTCTATTTCATTAAAAATAAAAAGATGATGAACTGATTAACTCCTTTCTTATATGTACATGCATTTTATGCTGATAAATGAGACCTGGCTTGTCATATACTTTTAAATTAACTTCCATTGTTTCTGAAATCCTAATTTCTGATATCTCTGTTAAAAATCTGTGCTCTTAGCTCTTAGGCTATGGGGGTGTAAAGTGACCACCTGAAGAAGTCACAGAAATGTCGTAATGAAATGAGGTGTCTCCTCTTTTAGCCCCTCACTGCTCAGACCTCATGAAGACACTCATCCTTCACTGTCTACTCTACCTTTCATCTTTGTGTT